CCACAAGTTGGCTAATTAACCAACTCAAAATATAATAAAAATGAAAAAATTATTAAATTCTGCTGCTGTTATAGTTCTCCTTGTCCCGAAACCAGGATCTCGTTTCGGGGAGGACCCAATTTGCCTTTAAAAAAAATTCACGCCAAAACAGGTAGCGCCTCTCTGGCCATGTATGTACCGCATGAAACTGGGGAGGGCCCAACATGCGCGCTCAAAGGAAAATCTTCCAGTTCCAGCAAAATTCTCCACCCCCTAGTTTAATTTTTTTTTTTGGAGGGGCCGGCGCCTCTCCGGCCCCCACATAGTTTCGCCACAGAGCTCCTTCAAACAAAATTTGTATACAAATATATGTTTCAACAAAGTAAATTTGCAAAATGACATTTGGTATTTTGCAAAGTTTCTTATTTCAATATTTTGAAACACCACACACACGGAGTTACCAGATACCAAATCCCGCAATAACGCACAACACCTTCAAAATTCAATTGCATAAAGTAAATAAAAATTTATTTTTCTAAACATAAAATATAATTTTACAAGAATACAAAAATATGTTTATAGATGCTTTGAGTAAAAATTCATTTAAAAGTAAATATACAATTTATTAATCATAAAAATAAATATAATATATACATGTTCATAATAAAAATATATAAGAATAACACAACACAAAACACATACGAATATATATATATATATATTGAGATATTTTTTATCAAAGCCCTTGGTGAGATTTCAAATACACCAACTTCTTTATTTGTGATTTATATTCAAAAGACGTGTTGATTGTTCAAAATGTAAATATATGTGAGTTATGACTGTAATGTTATTTTATGATTTGATACGTGTATACGTATGTTACATTGTGTTAGTATTTTCATAAATTCTTTCATTTCCTATCTTCAAATGCCATCCCATTTGTTTAGCTAGAAAGGAGTAAATAAATTTTATCTTTATGCCCAAGATCATATTTAGGGCTGCAAACGAGTCGAGCGGCTCACGAGCCGCTCGCGAGCGCTCGAGTCAAAGCTCGACTCGAGCACGAACTCGAGTCGAGTTCGAGCATACATTTTGCCTTGTCGAGCGGCTCGAGATATACGTTAATCATATTGTAGAGATGAGGCTACATATAGGTTTGGTAACTTTGATTTACTCAAGATAAGACTACCTTACTTTATTTGATGTGTTTGTTTTCCTACAATGAATATGATTTGATGTACATTTATCAATTAAAGTTAAATTTATCCTTTATTTTATTTTCTAGTTTATCCTACATGCCTCTCTTTTTATTATAAACTACAATTGAAGCATTTAACATGATAAACTAAGCAAATAAATGGCAGAATCTATAACTTGAAGGTAGAAGATGAGAGGTAAAACAACTCATACATATACAAACACACCCACACAAATCAACAAATAGCAAATGAACGCAGGAAAATTGTTCATTAGTGTTTGCAGTAGCACATCATTTACCGGGATAAATAATGGGCATAACCCGGAAAATATGACGCATTCATCGAAACCCAAAGTGCATCTTCAATCTCAGCACTCATTCATCCGGCGATCGGAATCTATTGGCGGTTTTTGGACAAACGTCGAACGTTACTTTAACGCGGTGGGAATAAAACGAAACTTTTCGCCGGCTAATGTACAATGTTTAACTATTTCAGGGGTTTTAAAAGAGATTTATGACAGATCCTAAATAGAAATTGGGTTGACATGAGAGCGTTGTGTGGGAGCTAAACGCGAAAGTTACAATACACCGATGCTTCCAATCGATCACTATACCTTCAAATAATGAACACATATAATAGTGATTAACAAGTACAAATAATTTAACCGAGCCCATACTTTCATGTAAAAGTCCATATAATCTGATTACTCTAGTCAAATTTTGCTATAATGTGCCCAAAAATCAGAATTTTTACCAGCATAGCTGGGCATAGTAAAACAAAAAATTCCTCTTTCTTGAATTCCAGTGCTCAACTTACTCCAGAAGAAAATATTCATAACAAAATGACTTAGAAGTTACAAAATATAACATTAATCACTAAACTTCTTCTGCAAACTCAGTCCTAACTAATCCTCAAATGCTCAAAAGTGCATATTTTGAGAACCTAAAACAAAATAAAGAGGAAAATAAGCATCTCGACAACCCAATTGAAGACAAACCAAAATGGACTGTACCATTCGGTGGTTTATATTTTTCAGTAAGGCAGCAGTACAGTTAACTCCAATGACCTCCAGGGAGGTGACACACATCACCAATAGTCACCACATGAGCAAAATCCGTCTCTGAAGTGATGAAAACGATTCGAGTCCCTCACGATAATTTCCCTCTCCGTAACTTTAGATATCAGTTTCGTCACATTGTGGCAGTCGCCACAAACCCGCAAATTTTTGTATATCCTTATAGAACTTTTAGGTGGAGTATTGAGAATTCCGCACACAATAGCCAACCTCTCGCTGTGGCTTGAGAGAATATTCTCTTTCTCGTCATCTTCTACATCTTGAAGCACAAAACTATAATCCGGGATATAACCAAGGCTTTTCAGTTTAGAATTTAGCGAAGCTAGTTCCTTGTATATGTCCTCACTCTGAGGATGAGACCTGCTGCCAGTATAGAAAACCTCGAGTTCGTTATTTAATTCGACCGAACTCCACCCGGGCGTTTTCCATAAGCCGCGATCCCGGGCCAATGACCTTACCGTGTCGACCCCTTCCCACCGCCCAAAGTTTGCGTAAATATTCGACAGTAAAACGTAATATCCAACATTTTCCCGGTCGAGCTCGAATAACTGGCCTGATGCCTTTTGGCCCATCTCAACATTTCCATGAACTCGAGAGGCACCAAGAAGAGCGCCCCATATTGGGGAATCGGGCCTCACAGGCATGGTTTCAATAAACTTGTATGCTTCTTCCAAAAGCCCGGCCCGCCCAAACAAGTCAACCATGCACCCGTAGTGCTTTAAAGTGGGCTTCACTCCATATTCTTGCTCCATGCTGTGAAAATACCGTTTTCCCTCGTCGACCAAACCGGAATGGCTACAAGCTGTCAATAAAGATAAGAAAGTCGCCTCATCGGGATTCACTCTCTCACTCAACATATCGTGAAAAAGTCTGACAGATGTTTGACCAAGCCCGTGAAGCCCGTGGCACGATATTACGGCATTCCAAGTTACTGAAGTTTCTCTTGGCACCTCACTAAATAACAGCATAGCTTCACCTAGTCTACCGCATTTTCCGTATAGATCGATAAGGCAAGTGCCCACATACATATCCGCATCAAGGTTTTGTTTAAGCACCAGACAATGGATTCTTGTTCCATCTCTAAGAGCTCCTAAATGAGCATAAGCTGGTAAAACTGACACCCATGTTCCTTGGTTAGGCTTCAGATTATCTTTTTCTTTCATTGCTCGATACAAGTTAATGGCCTCGCTCGCGAAGCCGTTTTGAGCATAACCAGTGATCATTGTGTTCCACGAGATTACGTCTTTAAAAGGAAGTTGCTCAAAAATCCGACGTGCAGAATCCAAAATGCCTAATTTCGCGTACATGTCGACGATGCTATTTCCAATTATGGTATCTTTTGTGATCCAGCATCTCCTGATAACAAATCCATGAATTGATTTGCTGCATAAAATATCTCTTGTCTGAGCAAGGCATGAGGATAGGCTCACCAGTGTCAACGAGTCAGGTTGGACTTTATTTGACTTCATCTCGTGAAAAAAAGCCAGTGCTACCTGTGGACAACAATGTTGCTCGTATGCTGCGATTATGGAGTTCCATGTAACCAAATCTCTAGCACCCATATGATCGAAAACATTTCGGGCGCAATCCATGTAGCCAAATTTGGCATACATGTTGATCAAGGCATTAGAAACAAAGATGTTAGATTCCAAACCGTGCTTTATCGTGAATAAATGGATCGACATGCCGCATAATGAATCATAAGTTTGTGCACAAATTGCGAGAATAGTAGAGACAGTTACCGCGTTAATTGCTATGCCTCCTAGTATCATCTCATCAAAAACAGCCAATGCCTTTTTATGATTGCCACTTTGACAAAATCCTGAAATCATGGAGTTCCAGCATCCCATGTCCCGAAATGGCATATTTCTGAAAATCGTATACGCACGACTAGAAAACCCGAAACGGCAGTACATATGCACTAATGAAGCAGCCACAAACACATCACACTCAAACCCCAATTTCAAAACCCAGCAATGAAACAGTGCCCCATCACATAAAGATTTACAAGCTTTCAAGATAGAGGGGAAGGTGTAGAAATCAGGTCGAACATCAGTGCTTGACAGCATTTCAAATGCACATTTTATTGCTTCATCAA